ATGACCTGAGCCGAAGGCAGCGGCTTAACCCACTGAGCCACCCAGGCGCCCCAGGATAATTCTATTTTTAATTTCTCAAGGCTCTGCCATGTGGTTTTCCATAGTAAGTGTACCATTTTACATCCCCGCCAGCAGTACCCAAGAATTCCAACTTTCCTACCTCCGTACCACCATTCATTCTATTCTGTTTTGTCTGTTTACAGTAGCCACTCGAATGGGTGTGAAGTATTTTTGTTTCCTTTCTTTTTTAAGATTTTATTTATTTGTCTATTTTGAGAGAGAAAGAGGGGTCATGAGTGGGCAAAGGGGCAGAGGGAGAGAGAGAATCCCAAGCAGACTCCATGCTGACCACGGAGCCCAACCGGGGCTCCGTCTCATGACCATGAGATCATGACCTGAACCAAAAACAAGAGTTGGATACCCAACTGACTTGAGCCACTCAGGCGTCCCTTTCCTTCCTTTAAAAAAAAAAAAAAAAAAAAAAGATTTTTAAATTTATTTATTTGAGAGAGAGAGAGAGAGAGACAGCATGAGTCAGGGGAAGGGGCAGAGGGAGAGGGCAGAGAGCAGACTTCCTGCTGAGCAGGGAGCCCAACGCAGGGCTCCATCCCAGGACCCCGGGATCATGACCTGAGCCGAAGGCAGACACCCAACCGACTGAGCCACCCAGGTGCCCCTCTTTTTAAAAGAAATTTAAGTTCCAAATTCAAAAGGTGCAAAGGCATTTGCCTTGAAAAATCGACCTCCCCACTTCTTTCCACCCCCAGGGGCCCACTTGCTCTCCCTGGAAAAAATGTAAATGATCAGTTTCTTTTTTTTTTTTTTTTAAAGATTTTTTTATTTATTTGACAGAGAGAGATCACAAGCAGGCAGAGAGGCAGGCAGAGAGAGAGGAGGAAGCAGGCTCCCTGCTGAGCAGAGAGCCCAATGCGGGGCTCGATCCCAGGACCCCGAGATCATGACCTGAGCCGAAGGCAGCGGCTTAACCCACTGAGCCACCCAGGCACCCCAAATGATCAGTTTCTTATGTATCCTTCCAGAGATACTTCATGGAAACAGAAGCAGATATGAAAATATGTCTCCACTTTTTACACAAATGGTATGATAACATATACCCATTTCTGCCTTTTGTGTATTTTCACTTAACATACCATGAAAGGTGAATTAAAGCAGGACAGAAAGAGCTTCCTCGTCTTTTAATGAGGAAAACTTCCATTGGATGGTATTATCAGTTGTTCAGCTGAGGGTTCTTAATCTGAAGTTCTTGGATGCCCAAGGGAATCATTGATTCTAATCCAAGAGGTCCATGCCCTTGCATGGGAAAAAAAATTATATTTTCATTTCATTAACTTCCAGCTGAAATGTGTCACTTTCTCCACCTGTGAATATAGACAACAAACTACAGTAATATTAGCAATGCCTGTGACGATCACCGATGGAAATCACAGATATTTTCATGTCCCATTACGGTGTCGTTCACATCTCAAAGTTTCGTTTTTGTTCAGTATTTCACCAGACCTGCATCTAGCTCACTTTACTTAATAAAGAGGCAGGTATATTAATCATGAATTTGTTTTTAAAAGATTTTGATGAATGTTATGTCTTCTTAGTTGGTCTCCTTATAATTTTGTGCCTTTCATTTTATACATTTTAACACATTGTTTGGAGGAGGGCTGCCTGGGCTTTCCCAGGCTGCCAAAAGGGTCCGTGGCACAAAAAAGGTTACGATTCTCTGCTTTAACCAGTCTCCCATCAAAGATGTTTATGTTCTGACGATTTACTCTTAGCACATGCAACACTGAAACCATTTGGCTCCTGAGGGAGAGTGCCTTGAGGAAATGGAGGCACTGGAGCAAAGGGAAGCACCATCTGAAATTCAGATAACATGTAATGTTAAATTACACTTCACGGAGGCCAAGGAGTCCCACGCCTCCCGCAATCAGTGCCGGAGCCCGGGAGTGTTCAAACACCCTGATCCCGGTCAGTCTGATAGCAGGAATGTGCTCACCGTTACTACTATCTCTTTATTCTGTGCCGCCTTCTCTCTGTCAGCTGCACAACATTCCGGTGTGGTTCTGCCTTAGTTTTTCCTTAACTGGGCTACTGTTCGTGGACATGTAGGTTGTTTTTAAACAGTTGCTAAATTTTAGTTAGAAAACATTTCAAACCCATGGGAGAGTTTCAGGAAAAGCACAATGAACACCTGTACACCTTTCACCGGGATTCAGGTGTTGTCTTCCGTTTTGTGTGTGTGTAGTGTGTAGTATGTCTTAGAAGATACACACCAAAGTATATATATATGCACACAAAACACATATATGGGTATGTATGTATGCATATACAGAAACAGTATGTGTCTATATTATATTTTCACTACTAGTTTTCCTCAATGATCTGAGCACACATTATGTAAGTTGCAGGATTAGTAAACGATTAGGGTCCGGGGCACGTGGGTGGCTCAGTTGGTTGAGCGTCTGCCTTTGGCTCAGGTCATGATCTGAGGGTCCTGAGATCGAGCCCTGCATCTGGCTCCTTGCTTAGCCAGGAGCCCGTTTCTCCTTCTCCCTGCCATTCCCCAGCTTGTGCTCTCTCTCTCTGTCAAATAAATAAATAAAATATTTAAACAAACAAACAAACAAAAAATTAGGGTCCTTTACCCTGAATACTTCAGTGAGTATCCTATAAGACATACTATTGCATAGCCGCAAGTAAATGACTGAACTTAGAGGGAAAAAGTGACAGGAGACAAAGACCTAATATATTACCCCTATTCAAAATGCACAATAATGTCCTTTACGGCATCCTTTTTCTGGGGCAGGACCCAGTCCCAGGTTACACAGTACCTTTGGTTGACACTTCTCTTCAGTCACCTGAGGAGGAGTTCCTCAGCTTTCCTTGTCTTTTTATGACCTTGAGATTTTTGAAGATGATGGATTGGTTGGTAGAGTGTCCTTCGATTTGGGTTTGTTCTGAGGTGTCATGGGTGGATCCAAGTGATACGCGTTTAGCAGGAACAGCCCTGAAGCGATGCTGTGTCATAGTCCTTACTATCAGGAGGCACTTGTCTTCGTTGGTCATTATTGTGATGTCAACTTGTAGCCCTTGGTTAATGTGGTGTCTGCAAGATTTCTGCACTGTATAGGGGCCTTTATTCCTCTTTGTAATTCATAATTACTTGCGGGAAAATACTTCAAAACTGGAAAATATTCTGTTCCCCGACAGGCTTTTACCTAAAAGTTTTTAGATCCATTCATTAGTTTTCCCTGAATCAATCATTACAAAGTTGGTTAAAAAACAATTTTTTTTCCTGATAGAGATTTTATTTTTAAGTCATCTCTACACCGAACATGGGGCTTAAACCCACAACTCCAAGCTACGAACTGAGCTAGCCAGGCACCCCAAAAGGATGATTGTGCCACTCTCTCATCTTCTACATGCATTAATTGGTCTTCTGCTGTAAAGCACAGATTCCCCTCTTCTTTCCCTGTTGTAGTCAGAGTTCTCCAGAGAAACAGAACCAATAGTGGATACAGCTATCTATATGAAGAGGAGAGATATTTGAGGCCTTGGTTCATACATGTATGGAGGCTGAGACAGCCTTCAGTCTGCAAGCTAGAGAACCAAGAAGTCTTAACTGGGGCGGGGGGGCCAGCAGGGTAAGTCCCAGCCTGGGACCAAAAGCCCAAGGTCCAGGAGTGTCAAAGTCTGAGGGCCCAAGAAGGAGGATGTCCCACATCAACAGACAGAGCTCAGAATTTACCCTCATTCCTCCTTTTGTTCTATTCAGGCCCTCAGTGGATTGGATGATGCCCGCCCACCCAGCAGGGAGGGCCATCTGCTCTTCTCAGTGCATCGGTCCAAATGCTCATGTCTTCCAGAGACACCTTCATAGACACACCATGAAATAATGTTTAACCAGCTAGCCGGGCAGTCTTTAGCCCAGCCAAGCAGACACAAAAAATTAACCATCACATTCCCATTAATTAATTTAAATTTTTAAATTTTAAGTATGAACTCCTGAATTCTCTTTTTATTCGAAGGGTCATTGTGATTATTCATTCCGATACTCAGCTTGTTCTCAGTCTGGCCGGTGGGAGCTCCTTTAGACTGTCGTTCTGATACGCCTCCATCCCTACATCCCTGGAACATTCCAGGTTCATCTTGCGGTTTCCCTGGTCCAGCCCTGGCATCGGCCATTCCCCCAAGGAGCCCTGGTTCTTTTCTTTGGAAAATGGTACTTAGAACTCTTGCTTCTTTACCATTCGCCAATGTCTTTCCTTACAGGTAGACCTGGGACCAGACAAAATGGTGGTTGACCTGACAGACCCCAACCGACCCCGCTTCACTCTCCAGGAGCTGCGGGATGTGCTCCAGGAGCGCAACAAGCTCAAGTCCCAGCTGCTGGTGGTGCAGGAGGAGCTGCAGTGCTACAAGAGGTGGGGCTGGGCTGCCCCGGGCACCCCGCACCGCCGGGCCGGCCCTGCCCGCGGCTCCTTGACACGCTCTTTGTCCCTCCGTTCGCGCGGCCAGTTTATGGAGACCTGCTTGGTGCCAGGCCCTGTTCCTGGCCCCGGGCTGTAGCAGTGAATGAAACAGAGGCAGTCCGTGCTAGTCTAGGGGGAAGACAGGCAAGTGACAAGGAAGTCTGAGATGGACATGCAGGGTAGTGGTGGTAAGTGCTCCAAAGACTGGAAACCAAGGTGACGGGGCGCCTGGGGGGCCGCAGTCGGTTTGGCATCCGGTCATCATCTCATTTTGGCTCAGGTCATCATCTCGGGCTTGTGGGAGCAGGCCCTGTGTCACACTCCTTGCTGGTGTGCAGCCTGCTTGAGATGCTCTCTCTCCCTCTCCTTCTGCCCCTCCCCCCTCCTCTTTTTCTGTCTCTCTCCTTCTCTAAACAAAACAAAAAAACCAAGGTGACATATGGCAGCAAAGGGCTGGGGGCTGGAGGAGGGGCCTGTTTTATTTTTATTTTCATTTTTTTAAAGATTTTGTTTATTTATTTATTTGACAGAGATCATAAGTAGGCAGAGGCAGGCAGAGAGAGAGGAGGAAGCAGGCTCCCCGCTGAGCAGAGAGCCGGATGCGGGACTCGATCCCAGAACCCTGAGATCATGACCTGAGCCAAAGGCAGAGGCTTTAAGAGGGGCCTGTTTTACATGGGGTAGTCAGTGAAGATTCCTGTGAGGCGAATGACAAGAAGCAGCTAACTATGGAAAGATCGATAGGGCAAGAGAGGAGTGAGAAGCCCTAAGACCCTGAGCGGGGAACCACCGTCTTCATTTTGAGAGACCCAGCATGGTGGAAGCTGGAGCACAGGTAGACAATGAGAGAGGTGTGCCTAGTGAGCCCTGGGAAGGATTCTACTTTTATTGTAAGGGTAGTGAGGAGTCACTGGAAAGTTTTAATCAAGGAAATGATAAGATCTGGTTTGCTGCTTGCTTTGTTTGTGTTTATTTTTTGTTTACTTATTTATTTTTTTTAAGGAAGCTCCATGCCCAGTGTGGGGCTTGAACTTACTACCCTGAGATTACGAGTCAGAAGCTCTACCGACTGGACCACCCAGGCGCCCCCGATTTAGTGTTTTGAAAGGTCAAACGTGAGGGGCACCTGGCTGGCTCTGTTGATAGAACATGCAAGTCTTGATCTCGCGGTCCTGAAATCAAGCCCCCTCAATGGGTGTGGAGCCTACTTTTTAAAAAATGGGGGAAGGAGCCCTTGGGTGACTCCTTAGTTAAGCGCCTGCCTTCAGCTCAGGTCATGATCTCAGGGTCCTGGGATCGAGCCCCACATAGGGCTCTCTGCTCAGCGGGGAGCCTGCTTCCCCCTCTCTCTCTGCCTGCTTCTGCCTACTTGTGATCTCTGTCTGTCAAATAAATAAATAAAATCTTAAAAAAATAAAATAAAATAAAATAAAATCCTAAAAAAAAAATCACAATAACAAGTGTAGGGAATAGGTTGTAGCACCAGCAAGAGAGGAAATAGGAAGCTGTTGACCTATTGGGTTTGCACTTTGCTGTGTCCATTTGCACCCTGTTCCCCAAAATGTTTCCTTTCATGTAAGTGCTTCTCGAAAAGGGGACTCGGAAGGAAGGAAGAAAAGAAAAAGAAAGGGGGCTATGTGGTCGAATAATTCCAGGAAACTGTTGAGTTAAACAAAGCAGATTCCCTTAGAGACAGAAGAAGGAAAGCCCAGGAGAATAAAAACTCGGGGCCAGCTAATGTTTGTCCCCGCACCCTGCATGCCAGGCACTCTGCCCATTGTATTGCAAGCATCATTTCCGCTAGTGCTCACAGCAAGGTGAGCTAAGGTAATGTCATCTCCAAGGTGTTCTATGGTTCATGAAGGTCAGGTCACCTGCTTGAAGTCCCATAGCTGATGGTGGCAATGGTGAGATGTGACCTCAGACAGCCTGATATCAGAGCCTGTGCATTTGGTTATCATGCCATGTTTGGACTCTGAAAGTTTAGAAGGAAGAAATACGCTGACTCAGGGGCACCCTGTGGTGGGCTCAGTCAGTGAAGCATCTGCCTTCACTCAGGTCGTGATCTCGGGAGCCCCAGGTCGGGCTCCCTGCTCAGCCGGACGTCGGCCTCTCCCTCTGCCCCTCCCCCCCGACTCAGGCTCTCTCTCTGTCTCTATCTCTCAAATAAATAAATTAAATATTGAAAAAATAAATCATTCAACGTAGGATCCCTGAAGGAGGAGCAGTACGTAAAAATATTCTAGCAAGCCAAATCTGAAAGGGCTAAGTTCTGCCAACAGGAATTTAATCGCCTTCCTTCTGCTGAGGTTGGAACCATGTTAATGGAAAGACCTGTCTTCCTCTCATCGAATAAGTGCTTCAGACACAGGTAGTTAAGGACAGGATCGGCTGAAATGGGGTTTGAGCAGCTTGGTAGCAAATAGAGCGACATGCTTTCTTTCCAGTTTTGAATTCCCGGAGAGCAGCAGCCATGTACTTCCCATCTGGTAGAGGACAGCTGATGGCAGGATTCTGTTTACTCACTTGGGTCCTGTATTCTGGAAAAACCAGCATGTCATCTGAGGTAGTCTCCTAGCAACTGCATCAGTTTCGAGGTCCAAGGTCATACCAGTGGTGGTTTTTCCTTGGGGCGGACGTGGTAGCCTGCTTCCGAAGATGGCCATAGTTTTTCCCATCCTGCATGCCTTTTGCAGTGAGCCTTTTCTACCCCCTCAAGAGGTAGAGTCTTATTTTTCTTTCTTCATGAGTCTGGGCAGCCCGGTGACTTGCTTTGACCAATGGAATGTTGTGGAAGCGATGCTGTTTGGTTTCTGAGGTTAGGGGAGGCCTGTTGCAGCTCCCATTTTGGTCCTCGTGGAATGCTTGAGATCACAGTATTGTGAGCAAGCTCAAGGTAGTACCATGGAGACGTCACACAAAGAACAGAGGTGCCCCAGCAGACGGTCCCAGCTGTGCCCAGCCTCCAGATGACCCACCAAGCCAACCATAAGAAATGGAGTCACCATGGGAAGTCATAGATCTTCCTTGTTTAAAATCACTGTGGCTTAGGGTTTATGTAACAACAGATAATAGAAAAGGGGGGTTATTAATAATAAATTAATGATGCATTAATACTATAATAAATATGTAAATAATAATATTAAATAATAAGAGCTCCCTCTTTGCAAAGGAGAGAGAAGGATGGAGCCTGGTGTCTCAAACTCTTTTTTTTTTTTTTTAAGATTTTATTTATTTACTTGACAGAGATCACAAGTAGGCAGAGACGCAGGCAGAGAGAGAAGAAGGGAAGCAGGCTCCCCAGTGAGCAGGGAGCCCAATGTGGGGCTTGATCCCAGGACCCTGAGATCATGACCTGAGTCGAAGGCAGAGAGGTTTTAACCCACTGAGCCACCCAGGCGCCCCTCTTTGTGGCTTCTTGCACACACCGAAGAGAGAAAGCCCTCAGACATGTCCTCTTACAAGGGCTCTAATCCAACCATGGGGCCCCTACCCTCTTGACCTCATCCAAACTTAATTGTCTCCCAAAGGCCCCATCTCTAAATACCATTACATTGGGGCTTGGGGCTTCAATACATGGATTCTGGGAGACCTGATTCGGTCTGTAGGAAGGGGAAACACCACAGGTATAAATAAACCAGCAGATGCCACAGCAAGAGACCTAAGTGCAGTTAATAAGCAATGTATGAAGTATTTCGTACACTGCTACATTGCGCTGTGGTCAGCTTTCTTTTGGTTGCAAGTGACAGAAATCCAATTCAAACTAGCTCAGGTACAAAAGGGAATTTATTAACCCACATAGCTGGGAGGGATCGTGCGACTGCTTGCAGAAATAAAGAAAAAAACCTGCAGGTAGGTCCTCTTTCTTTCCTCCTTGCTTCTCCGTGTTGGCCTCATTGTCTTGTGTTATAGACACACCTTCTAGGAATCTTAGGAAATGTGGCTGCTGGAAGTCCCAGCTGGACAGATGAGAGAGAACAGCTTTCTTCCAGCTTCTGTACATCAAGTCCGGGGGAATGCTCTGGTCATCTTTAAGTCAGCTGACCTCAATAGCTATCAATAACTTATATCAATAACTTATCAATCAATACAAATTTAACTCTTGTTACCATCTGACTTACTATAGCTTTTATTTTACTTTTATTTTATTTTACTTTATTTTATTTTACTTTACTTATTATACTTTTATTTTTATTTTACTTAATTTATTTGTTTAATTTAAAAAAGATTTTATTTATTTATTTGAATAAGTGGGAGGGGAGGGGCAGAGGGAGAGGCAGAAGCAGACTCCTCAGCCAGGAGCCCAAGGTGGTCCTCGATCCCAGGACCCCAAGATCATGACCTGAGCTAAAGGCAGACACTTAACTGACTGAGCCATCCCGACGTCCCTCTTAGTATCCTCATTTTATTGATGAGAAAAATCAAGGCTTAAGGTAGAGAACTGATATGTGGCCATATTCCTAGAAAGTGGAGAAGCTTGAAGTACTAGCCAATGCATTTAGACAAGAGAAAGAAAGAAAGAAGAGGTATCAACATGGGAAGAAGCAGAATCTCTCTGATGCTAACTTTCAATGATACTAATATAATTATTATTATTATTAAGACCCTTTACTTTCAGAGCAGCACAGACAGGTCTGCAATAAAACAATCCTTTTATTCATCCCTTTTCCCCAGTGGTCTGATTCCACCAAGAGAAGGCCCAGGAGGGAGAAGAGAAAAAGACGCCCTTGTCGCCAGGACCAGCAAGGCCAGCAGTAACAAGGAGGAGAAGACAATCATAAGGAAGCTGTGAGTTAGTTGCTGCTCCGTTGCCACTAACTCACTGCCATGGGAAGGAGTGGAGGCCCGAGGAGGCTGGCCAGCTACCCCGGGTGGGGACGTCCTGGTTGGTGGTGCTACGGCTGATAGGAAAATTCGGGGATGGACTATCATGAGATCTGTGAGGCAGTAATCTAAGCACTTGACCTATATTAATTTATAGACCCTTCACGGTGACCCTGGGACGTAGGAGCGGCCACATCTCCATTCTGCAGGTGGAGAAACAGATACTAGGGGGCAAAGTAATTTGCCGGAGGTCACCCAGATGGTAAAGAGTAAAGTCGGGATTTGAACCCGAGAAGTCCAGATTCTACACTACTGCCTCCCTGTGATAGAATAATACTACAAAAACAACAAGAATTATTAGAGTTTAAGGGGGATTCATGGGGGCTTGGCTCAGTTGGAGGAACACGTGACTCTTGATCTCGGGGTCATGAGTTAGAGACCCATGTTGAGTGTGGAGATTACTTTAAAAAGGGGGCAGGGGTGCTGATTCATTACCTCTCTTACCTCCAACTTTTATTTTTTTTAAGATTTTATTTATTTATTTGAAAGATAGAGAAATAGCACAAGTTGGGGGAAGGGCAGAGGGAGAGAGAGGAGGCTATGCGGGTAGCCCAATGCGGGGCTTGATCCCAGGACTCTGGGATCATGACTCCTGCTGAAGGCAGAGCCTTAATTGACTAAGGGACTGACCCGCTCTTACTTCCAACTTTAGGGGACCTTGTGTCTCCCATCGTTGGGACACATAACGTGATTTCCTTTGAATACGTCCTTCGTGTTTATGCCCCCTTGTTAATCCCTCATTTCTTCGGGTGCTAAGGCTCAAACCATAGAATGTGGGGTCTTTTTTTTTAAATTTTTTTATTTATCTGACAGACAGAGATCACAAGTAGGCAGAGAGGCAGGCAGAGAGAGAGAGGAGGAGGAAGCAGGCTCCCCACAGAGCAGAAAGCCCGATGTGGGGCTCGATCCCAGGACCCTGGGATCGTGACCTGAGCTGAAGGCAGAGGCTTTAACCCACTGAGCCACCCAGGTGCCCAGAATGTGGGTCTTGTTTAAAATTCAGATTCTCGGGGCGCCTAGGTGTCTCAGTGGTTAAAGCCTCTGCCTTCAGCTCAGCCCAGGACCCTGGGATCGAGCCTCACATCGGGCTTTCTGTTCCGTGGGGAGCCTGCTCCCACCACCCCCCCGCCTGCCTCTCTGCCTACCTGTGATCTCTGCCTGTCAAATAAATAAATAAAATCTTAAAAAGAAATAAAAATAAAAATAAAATTCAGATTCTTGGGCACCTGGGTGGTTCAGTGGGTTAAGCCTCTGCCTTTGGCTCAGGTCATGACCTCAGGGTCCTGGGCTTGAGCCCCGCATCAGGCTCTCTGCTTGGAAGGGAGCCTGCTTCCTCCTCTCTCTCTCTCTGCCTACTTGTGATCTCTTTCTCTGTCAAATAAATAAACAAAATCTTAAAAAAAATAAAATAAGATAAAATAAAATTCAGATTCTCAGAAGTCAAATCCAGGATGAAGCCCAGAAATCTGGATTTCTGATAAATTTCCCGGGTAACTCTGACGTAGAGAACCCTTGGCTTACACTTTGAGACACGCCTTCTCAGCCAACAAGTGTCAGTACAATGAGGTGCGCCTTTCCCTCTTGCTCCATGACGCAAACAGCCCGTTTGCCTTGGCCGCTCTGGGAATGTCTGTCCTGGTGACAAGTTCCAGCCCCTGACTCCTCGGACAGAACTGAGAAGCACCTCGGTCAGGAACCTCAAATGCCTGGGGGGGTGGGACGGGTTGAGGGGTGTGCTGGGTGCCTCAGTGTTTAAGTGCCTGCCTTCATCTGAGGATCCCAGCATCCTGAGACAGCGGAGCCCTGCTTCTCCCTCTCCCTCTGCCTGCCGCTCCCCCTGCTTGTGTTCTCTCTGTCAAATAAATAAATAAAATATTTTTTTAAAATGCCTATGGGAGGGGCGCCTGGGTGGCTCAGCTGGCTAAGCGGCTGCCTTCGGCTCAGGTCATGATCCTGGAGTCCCGGGATCGGGATCGAGTCCCGTGGCGGGCTCGTTGCTCGGCAGGGAGTCTGCTACTTCCACTGACCTCTCTCCTCTCATGCTCTTTCTCTCTCAAATAAATGAATAAAATCTTTAACAAAAAATGCCTGTGGGGGCCAGGCACTTAATGTGGATGAGCGATGGGGGGTGTGGGAGGGACTCTTCCCAGAGTCCTGGCAAGAAACAAATAGCACACTTAAAGGGAGTGACTGAAAAGCTTTAAAGAAGGGACAGCTTACAGATGTGAGCAGGGTTAAGGGAACCAGCAAGGGATAGAGAAGCAGCCCAGCATGGCAAAGGGAGTGCGGGACCTATGAGGGAAAGGGAAGGGGGGGGTCAGCAGAGGGACACAGCAACTAGTAAGACCAGGCCTGGTGGGGAGGGAGCCGGGGCATCCGTACACCACCCCCACCCCTTAGGGCCCCTTAGAGCTTGAGCCTGATACAGCAAAAATAAGCTGTTTGTTCTGTGCACACGCTAGCCTGAGGTCATGTGTCTAATGAGCATGAGGCCACAATTTCATGGACAGATGAGCTTATTAATTGAATGAATGAATGAATGAATAGCTAAAATAGGACGAATGAATGAATGGCTTTCTGAGGAAGTAGGTCGTGCTAAGAAGGGTTTTGGGCTTTATCCTGAGGGCAGTGGGGAGCCACGGAGGGGTGTGAGGTGAGAAATGACTTAGCTCTGTAGAGCAACACGGTCATTCTGGCTGTTGTCTGAGTGGATTGCAGGGGGCGGCAGGAGGGCCATAGTGCTCATCATCATGGTGACTTGGACTGGGGGTGGTGGCAGTGCAGGAGATGAGGAGTGTTGGGATTAGGAACATATTTGGAGCAGGATGACTAACATATAGCAGATGGGGGGAGGAGCTGAGAACAACTCCCGGGGTCCTGGCATGAATGACGAGGCGGGGGTGATGTCACTTCCTGAGACAGGGAACAGGAGGGTGGGGGGGATATGTACAGGCTGAGGGGAGGACAGCTGAGCCCTGATGCCTGGATCCCAACACTAGTCCAGGGCCCGCCCCAGCCATTGTGGGCAGAGCTGCTAACCTCACTCGGTGCTCGGGGGCTTTGCCTCCAACAAGAAGCACCAGCCCCTTTCCCTGTCACTGGCTTTCCAACCCTCCAGCCAGCTCTGGGTCTTTCTCACAGCTGCAGACTAAACTTTGTGATCAACCCCAGAGAGATTTCTTCCTTTTCAAAACTTTGCATAGGACAGGGAGAAACACTGAACATTTGGTAATCAGGTCTTGGGGGATATCTAGGTTTTCTCCAAGAATTTACATGCCGATCTTTATTCACTGCGAAGATCTGTTTTATAATTGTAGGTAACGTGGATGCTTCCTCCACAATAAAACCTCCTAAAATTAAGAAAAAAAAAAAAAGGCTCAGACACCATTTTTCCGCATAGCCCCGTGCATAAGTGGATTCTGGGTCCAACTCCTGGTTCCGCAACTTACTGTGTGACCCTGGGCCTGTTACTGAACCTTGAAGGACCTCAGTTGGCTAATCTATAAAATAGGGATATTGAGGGCACTGACTTCATTGAGGAGTTATGAGTGTGAAATGAGCTGGTAGATGGAAACCCCCAGAACAGTGCCTGCCCCATCCCTGAGCCCTGAGCAAGTCTTTGAGTCAGTGGCCTGCAAGAGCCTGTCCCCAATTCTGCAGGGTTCTGCACTCCCTGCTTCATTCTGTCTGTACCCTTCTCTCTCTACACCCAGGTTCTCTTTCCGATCGGGGAAGCAGATGTAGACCGAAAGGCACGATTGTGAGGTTCTTGGACTCAAGAAGGTGATGCACCAAGACTTCCAAACTCATCTCTCAGTGCCACGCATACTCACTGCACTTGCTCACCTGTTTTCCCTGAAAGCCACCAAGGAGGAAGGAGGTGAGGCTCTCTCGTGATCACTTTTTCCCCAGGCCACAGAGCTGGACACCCCTGAAGGCTTGGCTAGGGCCGGGGAAGCGGCACAAAGAAATCAAGACAGCAGAAGGAAAGCAAAACGAGGCCCACTTCCTGCTGCACGCCAGCTGCTGGGAGGGGCCTCTGGCGTGCAGATGTGCGTTCTGCTTGTCTGGTCTCACAGATGACCTGGGTCTTTAGCAGCAGCAAATTTCCTGAGCCCAAAGGGAATGAGGAGGAGAGAATCCAGGAAAAAATGGTATCAACATTCCAGGGATGATTTCACGGATACTTAGTGAACATTTGATTTTGCTAACATTTCTTTACATGATTTTGTATTAAAGTGAAATAACTTTTATACTTTCTCTGAGTGTTTTAGAGTGGTGTCTGGAGTTATGTGACCTTGTATAAGGTGCTTTAACCTTTCAGAGTCTCGGTTTCCAAATCTGTGAACTGGGTGTGTGTATTTTGCACATTTATATGCTGGTGTATATTTATTTCAGTGACTCTGTGTGATGCACCAGGATTTTGTGTTGCTATGAGAGGGGGAAAAAAGCTGCAAATTATTATTATTATTATTAAAGATTTTATTTACTTGACAGAGAGGGAGACAATGAAATCACAAGCAGAGGGAGGGGCAGGCAGAGGGGGAAGCAGACTCCCCACTGATCAAAGAGCCTGAAGTGGGGCTTGATCCCAGGACCCTGGAATCATGACCTGAGCTGAAAGCAGATGCTTAACTAACTGAACCACCCAGGCATCCCTTATTATTATTTTTTAAAGATTTATTTATGTATTTGAGAAAGAAAGGATGAGCAGGGGTAGGGGCAGAGGGAGAGGGAGGAAATCCCAAGAAGACTCCCCACTGAAGATGGAGCTCGAATGTGGGGCTCGATCCCACAACCCTGAGATCATGACCTGAGCCGAAATCAAGAGTCAGGTGCTTAACCGACTGAGCCACCCAGGTACCCCTATTATTATTATTACTATTTTTTTTTTTTTACAAAAGTTCCCAACTAACCAAAGCATCTTTTTTTTAAAGATTGATTTATTTATTTTAGAGAGGGAGAGAGAAAGAGCGAGCATGGTGGGGAGGGACAAAGGGAGAGGGAGAGAGAGAATCTTAAGCAGACTCTGCATCGAGTATAGATCTTGACATGGGGCTTGATCCCACAACCGGGTGATCACGACCTGAGCTGAAACCAAGAGTCGGATGCTCAATTGACTGCACCACCCAAGCCCGCCCCCCACCCCGGCCAAATAACCAGACCATCTTGAGAAAGAAGAACAAAGCTGGCGGTATCACAATCCTAGGTTTCAAGATAGACCACCAAGCTACAGTGATCAGAACAGTCACCTGGTACCAGCACAGATCAACAGAACAGAAGAGAGCCCAGAAATAAACTCACACTTACATGGTCCATCAATCCATGATGAAGGAGGCAAAAATATACAATGGCAAAAAGACAGTCTTTTCAACAAATTGGGCGAGGAAAAGGGGACAAATTATAACATTAAGATGCTATGGATTTTAAGGCTCGTCCTGACTTCAAAGATATTAAAATGTTGGGGGAGGGGAATGCATTTAGGATTCAGCAAAATAGTCTGGAGAGAACGGATGGCTGCACTTTGCAAAGAAATGAACGGACCTGCTGAACATATCCTGTGAGCTGGTCATGCTAGTGACTGGCCCTGGCTTCCTGAATGTTCCACCGTCTGTGTGGAACAGCTTGGGGAGATGGGGACCAGCACTCACCCACTGGTGTACAGATTCAGAAAGTGAAACTCGGAGAGATGAAAGTGCATGAAGTCACGGAGCTAGGAAGTGGCTGCCCCAGACGCACAGGCGGGCTGATTCTAAGTCCTGGGTTCCTACCTACAGCATCCAACGTGTCCCTCTTCTCCAAAAAGCATTGATGTTAATGAATGCATGTCTTGCCTACATCACTTGGAGGACCTTTTGCCTATGGCCTTGCCGTACCTCCGTGGGATGGGTGTCATCATTCCTGTGGACACCCAAGGTGTCCACAGCACAGTGGGGCTGAAAGTTTCATCCAGGGTCCAAGCTCCAAAGGGGTAGAAGTTGGACCCAAACCCAGAGGTGAACTCCATAGCCCGGGCTTCCCCCTGTCTGCCTCCCAAGAAACACAGGCCCCGCAGAGGCCAGTCCAGAGCCTTCAGTCAGCGGCTCCCGATTTCTGACCCCAGATCATGGCTGGGCAGACCTCCCACAGGGGCCGCGAGACCACAGAACAGAATGTGTGTGAGTGGTGGGGGGCGGGGCGGAGTGCTATGTCCCTTACAGGAGTGCAGAACAGACTCAGCTCCTGGGAATGACATAGAAAGTCCATCCCCGAGGCACCAGCCTTACATCCTACAGCCCCAGCAACGGCAGCCCACTTCCCTATCCCTGAGCCAGTCTTGCTTTGGTTTCCATCTTGTCTCCGGGCTGTAGGACAACCAGCAAGTCTGGAAGCAGACAGATCATTATGTGTTGCTGTCCATAAGCCATTTATACATAACACCTGCCCTCCCGGACCTGGGGGATCCCCCTGTATAAACGCTCAGCTGCCTCTTTCTCCCTCGTGGAGCTAGATAAGGCCAGAAAGCCCTACTCCAAGAGAAATGTCAAGTTAAAACAGCCCTGGTTCCCGTGTATCCAGGGAGAGACTGACTTTTAAAAAAGGACAATAAAGAACGCTCAGATTTTAGCAGCTCTTGATCAGATCAGACACTGGGCTGTCGGAATTCTAGAAGGTAAGTCCCAGGAGCGTTTCTCCTGGAGCTGGGGCCCCGTGTGACCATGGAATGTGCTAGAGCTCCTTCCATGCGACAGGCTTCCTCCGCCAAACCCAGCACCCGGAGGAACTGGCTGAGAAGTGGATTTCCAAGTCAGGTTTCACAAGGCACAAGAAGTGGTTGCTGTAGCGATCATCTTTAAAAAATGAGTAAGTCAGGGCGCCTGGGTGGCTCAGTGGGTTAAGCTTCTGGCTTCGGCTCAGGTCATGATCCCAGGGTCCTTGGATGGAGCCCCACATCGGGCTCTCTGCTCAGCAGGGGGCCTGCTTCCTCCTCTCTCTCTGCCTGCCTCTCTGCTACTTGTGATCTCTCTCTGTCAAATAAATAAACAAACTCTTAAAAAAAAAATAAGTAAATACAGCCGCTAAATATCAGAGCTTGGAGGCTCTTTGCGATCAGTCCCAGGCAAAGTTCCTTCCTTCCTTTCTTTTTTTTTAAGATTTTATCTATTTATTTGGGAGAGAGCACAAGCGGGGGGTGGGGGTAGGAATAGAGGGAGAAAAAGACTTTCTGCTGAGCAGGGAGCCCAATGCGGGGCTCAAACCCTGGACCCTCAGATCATGACCTGAGCCGAAATCAAAAGTCAGACACTTCACCAGACACTTAACCAACTGAGCCACCCAGGCGTCCTGAAGCAAAGCCAAGTTTCAATCCTGACAGCAAACATGATGCCTGAGGGCGTGCTCCACATGTTTTCCCCGTACTAACTCCTGTAACGCAGTCCCCCATGTGCGTGCACCAGCTCTGCTCCATGTTGCCGAGGGAAGTGACACGCACAGAGCCGTCACCTGGCCAGCGTCACACAGCTGGCTGTTCCAGGGCCAAGTGCACTAGGCCACCAGGCCACCCTATTCTCTCCAAGGTGAAGACGGAGTCATCCATGACGGCTGAATCCTTAGGACACCCCTGCATGTCAGTGGGGCAGAGGCTGTTCCCATGTGGTCGAGCTCTGGAAAAGGAAAGGGATTTGTGCAAGGTGACAGGCCGGCAGACGCAGCTGCTGCTGGGATCCAATCTTCCACTTGTCAGCCAGGGACTCTATCTGCTGTCCCCATGCGCCTCGAGTGCGGTGGCTGGTGGGGCACGTGGTGGGAACGGAGACGTGGACTGGTAGGGGGCGCTTCCCACACAAGACGGGCAAACACGATGGTGCCAGACGTCGTTCTAAGGGAGGATTCAACATGCATTGGCTTTTGATCGTCGCTGGCACCTATGACCCCCCATTGTACCAGTAACAGAATGTTCTCCTAGGAGGGCATTCACCAATGTCCTATAACCCCCACCCTTTTCTTTTTAAAGATTTTAAGTAACCTCTGCACCCAACATGGGGCTTAAACCTGCAACCCCCATATCAAGAGTTGTATGCCCTACCGACTGAGCCAGCTGGGTGCCCCTGCTGTGTAACCCTTTTGTAAAATAAGGCTGAAAATCCAATCCTCTCTCTCCACCATGTAAAAAACAGAAAGACACACAGGTGGCCTTGCCTGGCAATAAATATTTTAATTTTTGTTTCATTTTTATGATGACAAATAATTTTCAAGTTATTTCCTTTCCTTTTTTTTTTTTTTTTTAAATACAAAGCTAAACCACAAACAGGTACAACCAAGACATTTTATCTCACATTTACACACTCTGTCGGATCCTCGTCCAATTCTCTGACCACTGACCAGGCAAATGTGGGGGTGGGGGTGGGGGGAAGACTTTCTTAGGTAGCACCGTGGTGAGGCCAGGGGGCAGGGGTGGGGGGGCATCAAGGTTGAGGACAGGCTCTCATACCTGTCTCCATTCACATTTACCTGGGACCAGGGGAGGCCAGGAGACCCCAGGTCATGGATCCACAGCCATGGCCCCCTGGACTGCAAGTTAACAGAGTGAGAATAGGTCCCCCTTCAGGAGGGAGGAGGAAGCTACCTACCCCTCCTGTCACAGTCAAGGTGAAAACTTGACCCTTAGCCTTGATCCTGGGCTGCCGGGCCTGCCCACTCCACTGCTACCAGCAGCTGGGGCGGGGGCCCTGCATTTCAGGGTCTGCGGGCTCCCCCTTTGGTTCATGGCTGCATCTTCATTTTTGCAGGAAGGACACCAGGTGGTCTGACAATCAGAAAGCCTGACAGCAGGTCTAGGAACTTTCAACCCATTGGGAGCGGGGGAGGGGGGGGGGGGGGTAATGGGTAAGTAATTTCTGGTCCCGCTACAAAACTTTTATTTTTGATTAGAATAGAGTACCATCTCAAATCTCCTCTACAAAACCCCCCCAAAAAAAAAACAAACCAAAAAAAAAAAAGAAAAAAGAAGGAAAGAAAGAAGAAAAACGCAGCCACTTCACTCACTTCAAGACCTATATACATGTAAGTTGTTTTCTGTGGTTTTTTTCTTTTTTTTGTCTTTTTTACATTTTTTTACTTTTTATTATTATTATTTTTTTAAAATAAATTCAGTGTTCACATTTCTATAAAGAATTAACCCAGTTTTGGGAAACCCTGCCCCAGCAGGGTGAGCAAGCAACGCTTTTCCCTGCCCACATCTACTCTGATTACCCGCCCTGATGCTTTGAGGTGCCCAGAAAAGCGGCAGCCTGTGGAAGAGTAAACCTAGGCCTGGCCCGCGCCCGGGGGCCACAGGGTCAGTAAGCTTTCGAGAAAGCAGAGGGGAAGACTAGCTTACTGCGAAACCTTTTTTAAAAAATATTCATACACTTCCATGTGCGCCTGTCCAGACGTCAGGAAAACAAGAGCTTGGGAACACCCCGGCCAGGCCAGGGAGGCGGCGTCACCCGCCCATGGCCGGTGGGGGTGTGGGGAGGAGAGTCCTGGCTCTTCGGTGGGAGGCGGGAGTCACCCAGCTTCCGAGTTCATGTTCACTCTTTCCTCTACGACCTGTGCTGCGTCTTTGACTGCATGCACGGGAAGCACGAACGTGTGACTTGTATGCAAAAAAGGTACAAAAACAACTAGAATATAAAAGTTTTGGTAATATAAGGCCATCTGTTCAAGTCCACCTTGGAAACCTGTAACAGATATTTAAATACTACAGTGAAAAGGCATCTTAATATACTTTTTAAAAACATCTGAAGTAATCTGCTAAGATTAAGTGTGTAAAAAAAAAAATCAATTCCCTTTGAGGGCACTTTGTCCATGGAAGAAGAAGGGGGGCGGGCAGGGAGGTTAATGCTTCAGCCAGGGGTACGCTTCGATGGAAGCCCGGCTGCGGTCCCCATAGTCATACAGGAGCTCCTCCCCGGCCTTGATGTCGCGGGAGGCGATGAGGATGAGGTGAGGCACGCCGTCGATGTCGTGCAGTTTGGTCTGGCAGTTACCGCATTTGCTATGATTGATCAGTCTTCCCAGGCGATTTGTCTCTCGAGTCGCATCCACGCTGGCGGGAGGGTGGGAGGGCAACAGAGGACTACATTGATAAAGAGGCTTTCGCTCCCTGTCCCAGCCAGCGCTCGCCTCTGGTGGGATGTCGATTTATAGCCATGTTTTGGGGAAAGCAATTCGAATGAAAAAAACATCTTTAAGAGCCCAGGAGGCACTGGGGCGGGGGTAGGGGAAGGGTGGGAGGAGACAGGAACGCAAAAGGCTCCTTGTGAGGGGGGGGGGGGGGGGGGCAGGTGCATCATAAATAAATGAATGAAAATCGACTCCGCAGGTAGTGGGGGAGGCGGTGTGGGTGAGAAGGCAGGGAGCGTCGGGAACTCTCCGCACCTTCCGCCCCATTTTACCGGGAACCTAAAACTGCTCAGAAACACAGAGCCTGAAACAAAACAAAAAATCGAGTGCACCGGCCATATGGGAAAAGGAGAACCAGTGATTTCTAGAGCCGCTCTGGCCCAACGCCACGAATGCCAGAATGGCCCCAATCCCGAATGTTAAAATGGCAAGTGGGGGAGAACAGCTTCGCGGCTTTGGGCAGAAAAAAAAAATAGCAAGAGCGAAACAAGTAGTAGCCAGAGGAGGAAGCAGGGTGCCCCTGTGGCTCCCGGCCCCGAGGGCTGTCCTGGCTGCCAGGCCGCCGACTTACCAGTAGGTTTTGCTCAGATACTGAAAATAGTACATGTAGCAGCCTGTGGATGGGTCCTGGGCATACAGAGCCTCCCGCTTCTTGGCGTCGGTGATCTCGATGAGGTCCCCGTGGTACTCGACCACAAACTCGCCCCGGGAGAACTGCTTGGTGGCGATCACTCCCCTGCCCTTGCCGTCGATGAGGTCAATCTGTGGAGGAGAGCGCTGCTGCCTGACGCCGCGGCGGGGGGCGGCTGCACAGGGCCTGCCCCACCTTCTTCCAACAGCTTTGCTGAGGTGTGCCCTAGACCCCATCACTAGGGACACAGCACGACGGGTATAATGAACCAGAGGCCGCTGTGCAACCATCGCCACAATCCATCACCCCGAAAAGGTCCCCTGTGCCCTTTTAAAGCATTGTTACATCTGAGCCTCCGGAGAGATCTGCCGGATGGGTGCTGCCCCATTTTGTAGATGAGGAAACAGGCTCAGAGAGGCAGAACTACATCCAAGGCCACATGGCTGGGAAGTGGTAAACCCGGACTCACATCCACACACGTGGCCTTTTCCGGGGAGCAGGAGGACCCCGTCTTCCAAGTGTCTCCTTTTTTCTGGAATTTACCCTCCTGTGCCTCTCCTCGTTCAGTTATAAATAGGGAGCAGGGTGACTGCTTGCGTGGCCCAGACCCCTTGGCGGCTACCGCAGGCTCCGCCCTTCTCATCCACCCAGGTATGTGCAGTACAGGAGAAGAAAAGGAAATTTCCTGGGCCGTGTCATTTCCCAGGAAAACAGAGTTTAGGAAAAATGTGTTAGTCTGACCGGGCCTCATGCTAAATGAGAGAAAGCCAGATACGACAGGCCATCTACTCTGTGACTCCATTCATATGAAATGTCCAGAACAGCCAAACCCACAAACACAGACACATTAGTGGTGGCCGGGGCTGGGGGAGTGAGGAGTGATGGCTACTGGATACAGGGTTTCCATCCGGGAGGATGAGAAAGTTCTGGAACTAGACAAGAGTGATGGTTGCACAACGCTGTGAATGTACTTAATGACACTGAATTGTACACTTTAAATGGGTTAAACTGGTACGTTTTATGTTATACGTATTTTATCGCAATTTAAAAAAGTTTCATTGGGTAACATTTCCCATATAAAGGCCATTAACGTTTCCTTCCTGAGACGTTCCTTGAACAAATTTAGCATCTGGCCCCTTGACAACCTAAGACTCTGACCAGTTGCGGTGACTGTTACGGGGCTAGGGCAGCCTGCTGGCCGCTGGGAGCTGAGAAGCAGGGGCCGGGGAGGGGAGGGACCCACCAGCCTCAGCCTCCAAGCAGTAGGCCCTGCTGCCTCTTACCTTCATTCCTTCTTCCTTCCCACTTTCAATCAACTCGTCTATTCTTTTCCTTTCTTCAGACTGGGCGGAGGGAAGAAAAAAAGCAGCATGTCAGTATTCTCTTCTGGGCCACTCTGGGCAGCCTGGACCACCCACGGGTCACTCAGGGCTGGCCTCCGTGACAGCAGTCTCCCAAGATGCCCGCGCCCCCACAGCCTCATCCGTTTCTCACCGCCATCTGTTGTGGATGGTTTGCCACCTGGGGGTCAAGTGAACCAGGGCGGGGTGGGGGAAGGCGGGTACAAGGCAGTGGCCCGACTGCAGACTGGGTCAGGGGCTCTGTACTATTTGGCACGTGCAGTGTCGTTTAGACTATCCAAACTGCCGACGTGTAAAATCAGGACAGAACTCCGTACACCATCAGCCAGGGCAGACGAGAGGCTGTGTCCTCGAAGGAGTGGGTGTACACCACATCCCTCCTGTCTGACAGCCCCCGCAGGCGCCTTGCTTTAGAAATTGGACCTGGGTCTCCACGAAGCCACGGCCACGGCTGAGAACAGGGCCTCCCATCCCCAAGAGGCAGTACCACCCTAAACAAAGAAGTCCAACAGGAGTGTACTCTCCTGGCCTCACTGGCCCCTCAGGACCACCACCTCCCTCCCAGATCCAAGTCCCATGCTCTGTCTGTGCCCGGGACTTGGGGAGGCACGGGGAGCCACACAGAAAGCAAGCAGAAGCCGGGGCCCTCTTCTGGGCACCACAGAGGGGCGCACAGGCGGGGGACGTCCACCCACCGCTGAGCAGACCTGGCCCAACCAATGGCCCCGGCTGGCAGCGCACATGGGACTTTTCCGGGCCCTCTCCACGTGGCAGGATGGGGACACCGGGTTTACAGACCCAGCGCAAGAGCCACACTACACACCCCTGCATCCAGCCCACGTCCCAGCTCTTCCACGGCCACCCTCCAGCCAAGCCGCAGCCACCTCCCCGGGGTCCTGGCGCCTACCCTGACCACCCCCCTCACTCTGCTCCCCACACAGCAGCCAGAGCCATCTTGTAAAAGGATGCGCTACAAAAGAGGCGCCTGGGCGGCTCAGTTGGTTAAGCATCTGACTCTTGGTTTTGGCTCAGGTCACAATCTCTTGTTTGGGGTTATGGGATGGAGCCCCACCATCGGGTTCAGTGCTCTGCGGGGAGTCTGCTTGAGATTCTCTCTCTCTTCCCTTCCCCCTGCCACTCTCACTTGCTCTCTCTCTCAAATAAATCAATCTTTAAAAAATAAAATAAAATACGGGGCACCTGGGTGGCTCAGTCAGTTAAGCATCTGCCTTCAGCTCAGGTCATGATCCCAGGGTCCTGGGAGCAAGCCCCACCAAAGGCCCCCCTCTCTCTGCCCCTCCCCCGACTCATGTGCTCTCTCACTCATTCTCAAATACATATATAATTGAAAATAAAATAAAAATGTCATTTCCCTGCTTAAAGCCTTCCAGGAAGTTTACTGAATAGTAATGGGCCAATGTTGGTTCACTGTGACAAATGTTACCAGGACAGTGTATGTAAGGTGTTAATGATGGGGAAACTGAGTAAAGGATCTATGGGAGTACTCTGTACTATCTTTGCAGCTCCTCTATAAATCTGAAATTATTCCAGAAAAAAGAGTTTATTTAAAGAGAAGCAAAACCTTGGGGCCCCCGGGGGTGCACTCTGTTGAGCATCCAACTCTTGGTTTCAGCTTAGGTCATATCTCAGGGCTGTGAGATCAAGCCCCACATTGGGCTCTGCACTCAGTGGGAGTCTGCTTGAGATACTCTCTCTCTCCCTGTGCCCCTTCCTCTCTCAAACGAATAAATAAATCTTTTGAAGAGAGAGAGGGAGGGAGAGAGAGAAGCAAAAGCTTTTCCATACCTTCCCACTGCAACAGAGTTAAAATCCATTCTTCCAATGGCCTGTGAGGCTACACAGAGTCCCAGCCCCACCTCATCTGCCATAGTCACCCTTGCTCCCACATTCTGGCCACACTGGCTGACTCTCTTATAGGGCCAGGCTTGTTCCTGCCTCGGGGGCCTTTGCACATCCTCCCTACCCCGGCCTGGAACACCATTTCTCCCAATCCTTTCACCTGGCTTGTGTCCTCCCTTCCAAGCTCTGCTCAAAAGGCAGCCCCCTCAGTGAAACTTCCGTGACTACTGTAGCTACTGTAGCCTTAGCCTCACCCAGCTTCAAACTACTCTGATTTATTAATGTCCAAGGGCTATCTGAAATTATCTTGTTCTTTGGTGTTTTTTTTTTTTTTAATTGTGAATCACTCCTCACTTGAATATAAGCTGAGTACAGATCTTGCATGCCGTGGGAGGTCCTGCCCCAGAATGGTGCCTGACACATAGTAAGCCCTCAAGCAACGGCAACATTACCACACGCACCTCCCTGCGGAAAAATTATTAGCGTGCACAGGAGACCAGACCAGGGAGGAGCGAGGTAAGCTCTGTGTTGGAAAGTGACCTGAGGGCTTTCCTGCCATGACTGAATGTGGCACCAGGAACTGGGAGTGGGCTAGATGCCCTGAAGGCAGAGCCACAGTCTGAGCTCCATTCCGGAGGCTCCACACTCAGGAGCACGCGTGAACCAGCTCCAGGCTTCCGAGCGAGAACCCAGGCAGTAGCCTATGGGGGGCAGCTGGAGGCAGACGGAGTGGGAGGTAAGCGAGGTCTGAATTAGGTCGAGGCTGCTCTGCACATCAGGCCTGGGACTGGGCTGAGGAGGAGGAAGCCAGGGCACTGCCCCCACGTAGGCTGTCACCCCACCCACAAGCAGGCCAGCCAACTAAGGGGCCCCCACGGCGAAGCAACGAGCAGTTCAGGGTTTTCTCTCCAAGGCCCAGTGTCCACCCTCTTGAGCCCTGGCTCTGGCCTGTCTTCAGACTCAATTATCTGCAAAAGTCGTCATTTTAGTTTCTCCCCTGGCTACCCCCAACCCTCTCTCGTGCCCCATGGGCCCGGACCCTGGTTTCTGGGGCCCCAAAGAGCAGGCAGGTCGGGACTGACCTCACCCCTCCGACGAGGCCCAGCTGCCCCACCCTCGAGTTTTACCTGTGGCATCAAGAGAAGACACCGCCCTGGCCAGCCACAGCCGCACGCCCCAGCCAACAGCCGCCTTCCCGCCTGGCCGGCAACCACCTGGCCCTGGTGCTCACTGGGCAGAGCAAACCCAAACAAGGGGGAGCACAGCACGGCTCTCCTCGCCACTGGCTCTTTGGTGACACGGCGAGCTTTCCTAGCTGCAGACCAAGCTTCGGAGAAGCAAGCGTCTGTTCCCTTCTGCTCAGCTGCTGCCACATTTCGCAGCCCTGCATCACGTCCTGTGGCAGCCTGCCCTCCCCCAGCCAGAAAAGACCTTCTTTTTTTTTTTTATTAAAAAGGCAGACTCAGGGCGCCTGGGTGGCTCAGTGGGTTAAGCTGCTGCCTTCGGCTCGGGTCATGATCTCAGGGTCCTGGGATCGAGTCCCGCATCGGGCTCTCTGCTCAGCAGGGAGCCTGCTTCTCTCTCTCTCTCTGCCTGCCTCTCTGTCTACTTGTGATCTTTCTCTGTCAAAATAAATAAATAAAGTCTTTAAAAAAAAAAAAAAAAAGGCAGACTCAGCTGCCCTCCCTCTGCAGCCCATGGCAGGCCTCGGCGAACCCCCAGCACTCCCTGTGTGGGCACCGCAGCCCCGATCGCAGCTGAGAGCTGTGCTGCGTTCTGGGCCTGGCACACACCCTCGCCTTCTGCAGGGCTGTCTTGAAGAGTGACCTCGCACAGCCTCCCACTGCAGGCAAACATTTTATAACCGCTTGTTCTTGGCTGAAAGACACTGCCTTTCTAAAGAAATAAAGCCAAAGCTTCTCCCTGGTGGGTGAAGCGGGGGGGTGGGGGTGGACCCCTTCTCTCACTTATTTTAAAGGAAGCCTCATTGATTCAAATAAGCAGGGGAAGAGAATGCTACATTGCCATCTCTGTAGCTACAGCTTTAACTGACAAAATGCTGATGGAGTCTAGTTCAGGTTCAAATGCTGATACCTACAAGGCCTCAAGGAGGCAGGCTGGAGGTAGGGGGCGATGGGCACAGAACTCCCCCACCCCTCTGTGGGGGCCGCAATCCCAGCCCTGCTCCTCCACCCCAGGGGGCTTTGATGGCATCGGAGGGTGGAGAGCCGCAGGGCAGAGCAGCCCACGGTCTGTCGCCTCCACACACTGGCAATGACCACACCTCGACTGCCAACCACGGACAAACACAGCGGGCGGAGGCCTGCAGTCTGGGCGGCCTTCCTCCATCCGATCCTCGATCCTCGATCCTCGGACCACAGCCGGGAGGGAGAGGAGAGGGGCTGCGGGAAGTGACGACAGCGGGGAAGCAGTGGTGGCCACAAGTCAACCAGTGCCTCCAGGACTCCAGGCCTGGTTCCCAGTGTTCCTCGACTGTGAACTCACTGAATCCCCCCAAAAACACGCCTACGAGATACTGGTTTGTTATCCCATTTTACAGACAGGGCAACCAAGGCACAGAGCAGTTAAGTGACTGGCCCGAGTCCTACAACCCGTAAATGGCTTCCGAGCCCCGCTCCACACCCCAGAGATACGACACGGGAGCGTGTGAACACGCGGGCAAGCCTGAGGAAGAGCATGCGGCCTCCCCCGAGGTCCCGCGCTCTGACTGCCCTGCCACCGCGTCCTGGGAAGGACGCTGTCCCCGCAACGCCGGACCGCCGGGGCGCGCTACAGCGGATGGGGTTCCTCCACGGAAGCGCCTCACCCAGGCCTCCCGGGGACCCCGACCGCTAGGAGGGTGCCCGCCCCCAGGAGGTGGCCCGGGAGACCGCTGCAGTCCTGCCCCTGTCCTGTTCCCCTCCCACCTGCAGTGCCCCGGCCCCCGCCCAGGCCCCCACCGGGGCCCCCACCCCCGCCCCTCCGCCAGCCAGGGGGCAAGTGCTGTGTGCTACCTGCAGCTCGGCTTTGCTCTTCCTGGAGCTCCTCCGCACTGGGTAGAAATCCGTGAGTTTGCGATTCTGCTGGGTCTTCCCTTGAGCTCTGGGGTGGGAAGGGCAGAGGAGAAAACAAGGGCACGCTGAAACCATGCTCAGCCCCAGAGGTGGCTCCTTGGCGATGATGTCACTTCAACATCTCTGTCCCCAGGGGCCTGTGGTCACCAGGCTCACCCACCCAAGGGGGCCTTGGAGCTCGAGACAGGCTGCCTGCTCTCGGTGTCAGGGGGCACAGGGGCTCCTGAGCTCTGGACTCAACCAGGTAACGATGTCCCTGGTGGGGGGGGTGTCTCACAGCACCTGGGCCCGGATGACACAGAGGCTGGTGGGGGACCTGCTCCCCCAGCTGGCACCTGAGCCAGGTCTGGGGCCGAAGCCGCACCCTGCGCTGCCTCCAGGGGGCACTTACTTCTTCCGCGGGGCCTGTTTGCCCTTGACGGGCTTTTTCAGGGCTTGCTTGGCGATGGCGGCGATGGCAGGATCACAAGAGGAGGTCGGAGTTTTTGGAGGTTCTGCTGCTTCGGATTTTTGGTTTGGAAAAGGTGCCAGGGGACCCCTCCTGGCGTCTTTGAGCTTCTGTTCCTCGGACTTCATGGCGCTCCGTACTGCGTTCCCACTGTTTCTCTTCTCTGCAGGCAGAGCGCGGGGAAAGACAGAGGGTTAGTCGCCACTCTCCGTCTCCCAGCCTCCCGACCTTCAGCTTCTAGGACAGGCTTCTGGAAGGGAGAGGCCCTGGGTGTGGCAGGCACAGTGCCCTCCGCCTGGGGGACCCAGTGTCTACCAACGGCTCCCAGGGGAGCAGCATGTGGCTTCACTTTCGGACCCAGGCACAGGGCAGAGCTTTTCATCTGCATCTTTTTAATTCTTTTTCTTCAGCTTTACTGAGGTATCATTGAGAGAACGGTATTTGCAGTGTATTTTCTGATGATTTGGTAGACATGGTGGACGATTACTCCCATCTAGCTTGTGAACGTTTCTGATCTCCTGCCTCTTGATATGGGGGCGGGGGAGAGCGAGAGAGAGGACCCTCGAGGCAGAGCCACCAAAGGAGGCACCAGCCACGAAGGTGCTCAATCCGGAACTTGCCCACAGACTCCAGGAAAAAAGCAAAATTCCCAGAGTGGACCTGCGTTGATGGACAGGAACGAGGTCATAAAGCAGAATTTCTTCCCTAGCACAGACCTCTGCCCCACGAGCTGCCTGGCGCTCTTCGTTTCAGACTCTAAGAAAAAAACGTTTCCTCTTCTAAGGGGACCAAAGCCCTACGTTCAGTGGTTCTCGGCACGGTGACCTGACACTGACCAGTGCGGCGCTGGGAGGGATGGCAAAAAGGATGTGTTACTAAAAATAGTTGTGAAGCGCCAGTGTGGGTGAATGATAGACTTTTTGAGAGAATGACTGACTTTAAAAAAAAAAAAAAGGAAGAAACAGAAGTCAAGAATACATAGCTGGTAGGAACGTAAAATGGCGCAGTCACTTTAGAAAAGAGCCTGGCAGTTGTTCAAAAGTTCGACATGGAGTTACCATATGACCCAGCAGTTCCTCTCGGAGGCGGCCGTTATGAGAATTAAAAACATATGTCCCCACAAAAACCTGTATGTGAATGTTCGTGGCAGCTTATTCGCAAGAGCCAGAGCAGAAACGACCCAAATGTCCATCCACTGATGACTGGGGGAGCACAATGCGGTCCGTCCACGTGACGGGGTATTGTCCAGCCACGGAAAGGAGTAACGTCCTGACACCTGCCCTTGAAAAGGTGATGCTGAGCGGAAGAAGCCAGACCCCGAAGGCTACAGATTCTGTGGGATACTCCATCTACTTATGTCCAGGGACACAAATCCACAGGGAGAGCAAATACATGAGTGGCTGTAAGGGCTGGGGGAAAAGGTGGAACCAGGGGAGACTAATGGGTACAAGGCTTCTTTTTTGGCGTAAGGAATGTTCTGGTACCAGACAGTTAGTTGGTCATGGTTACGCCTGTCCGTGAAAAGACTAAAAACCACCATGCTGGACACTTTCAAATGGTGACCACTGTGATAGGAGACTCAGAGCGCAATAAATAAGCTAAAAAGAAAATGATGTCAAAATCCACCCAGGCTCCTTTCACTGCCTCACACGCCTTAAGTGGAACCTGATGGAATCAAGTCCAGGACATCACCCTTAAAGATCCTAGGAGTGCATGATGCCCGTGAACGTCAGCTACCACGTCAGTCTGAGTCAAGGCAGAAACAAAGCTGAGAATCAAGGACTAAAAGCCTGGCCCCTGGGCTCTCCTCCAAAGTATATCAGGCCCCAGATCCTAACTGTGGCCATTTAGTGACACTAGAAGTCAAAAAACTAGCTTTTGTACCATGTCACCGTTCAGGATCACTCACATTCCACCCCATTCCAGGAGGGATGGGAGACGGCCTGACCACCATTTAGGGAGAGCCCCTTCCTCAGTCCCTACGTGGTAAGTGCTAGCCTAAGTGTTGCCAATGCAGGGAGGAAGAGGCCAGCAAGGAAGCGGTGCCAGTGTGGAGCACTGCACAAAGCCCTCTGCACCCAGGCTTTAACCAATCTTCAGATAGCCCTGAGAGGCAGGAGTTCTCCCTCCCACTTCAAAGATAAAAGAACAGAGGCTTGGAAAAGCGGAGTGACCTGCCCCAGCCTCTCCTTGGGAGTGGAAGAGGTAGGATTAGAACCCAAGTCATTTGAAGACGGACTGAAATAGTATCACCCACTGCCCTGGGTGGGGAGATCAAGCTGAGGCCTGGCTCCTGCCCCTGATTCTGGGCTTCTCCAGCCCTGGCGCTCAGCTCTGGCTGCGGACACTGTGCTCACTATCACTTATGGCATTTCTGTAAATGAATTACGAGGCTTCCTCATCCAAAGCAGATGGCAGCCAGAGTTCTGCTTCTTTAAGGAAAGTTTTAATTAGAAGGGACCTTGGTGAATTGGGGAAAGCTCTTCTTCCCCACTGCAACTTTAAGAGGGACAATATTTGGAAGAGAGCAAGATTTCTATGAGGTTTCAGCCTGTTTTTGCAGGGCCAAACAGAATTTTCAGTAATTACGTATTTTCTTGTTCGGTATTTTAACTCTGAATCTCACCACGGAGTATGCTGCTTCAGAGAGCAGCACTGAGCACTTGAGTGGAAAGAAACTCAGAAAGGAGGTCAAGGCCAGCTCAAAAGAGGAAAGGAAGTCAGTTCCCTATGTTCACACAACACAGTCAGGACAGCGAGCCCCTGCTCTGTACCCCCCAGACCCCTAACTTTTGTACTGTGGGTACTTGTGAGCCTCTTGATCTGTAGCTCAGATGTGATTTTTGCAACTTGGCAACACACTCAAGCTTGAGGGATAGGTTAACTCTTGCAAAAGCAGGGAAAACCTGTTAGACCGACAGGGCACACACCCTGGGACAGGCCACTCTTCCCCCTGTGTCTGTTTCTTAGGAGCAAGACAGAACATGGTTCAAACCCTTGAACTTGGGTTTGAAAAGGTTGGATAAACATTTAACACATGCGCATAATTCTGGAAGAGGGGATTCTGCAACCCGACCAGCTGTGGTCAGAGCAGGGCCATTTCAGAGCCTTACCTTCTCGTTTCCTGTAGAGTCCCGCTAATGGCTTCCCCTGGCATTTGACTTCGTGATGTGCAACTGAGTTCTCTTCCTGAAGGGGGGAACGCATTCCAGAGCATTTGTTGGGGCTCATGTAGGAATAGATCTTTGATTGCCCGGTAAATACATTCTCCTAAAACGACAAATGCATGTTCTGAAAGAGGCGTGAAGAAGAAGATCCCAGGGCAAATGGCAGAGAAGGGCACTCAGAATAAGCAAAATCAAAGACAGACATCATCTCTCAAAACCAGGCCACCAGGAGTTGCCAGCCCTGGGGGGAACAGTGGAAGGTTTAGGATCTCCCAGGTACAAGTTAGACGCTTCCCAAACTCATGGGGTCTCCAATTCTGGCCACTAAGGGCACATCTGGCTGGCAGGAAGCCAGCTGTATACCAAGGTGTATACTAGAAGCAGACAACCTACCAGGAGCAGAGAGGTCAGAATGACCCGGACTGAACAATTGCAGAATTTGATGGGCCCGCCTGTGTGCAGGAGCTAACTCCCCTGGCAGGAGCTTCGGGAACTCTTAACCCAGAAACAGGCCTCAGGGAATCTGATTAACCACTTCTGGGTCTGAAGGCAGCCGGGAGGACTTGTCAGGACTGCCTGAGCCTTCAGTGGGCCCAAGCCTGGCCCCTCTCAAACCAACGCAGCCTCCCAGGACTGCGGGACTGGACTGCAGTGGTAATCGAAGGGTGTGGTTAGGGGTGGAGAGCTTAATAAAAGCAGAGCCTACAGCCAGCTCCTGTAGGGCGGTCACTCTATTGCAAATGGCATCCACGAATTAGAAAGAGGAGGGTGGGCAGGCGGGTGGGGCGGTACAGGTCACTGCTGGCGTCTCTGGGTGTGGGGCCTGTCCTCTGAGTAACCACGGAATGGAGGAGGGCTTCCCCAGAAAACACTGGTAGGGCCTTTCTGCCCGGTGAACCTTTAAACACCAAATCGGCGAGACCCGTGACCTCTCTGAGGAACCCGGGCAGGCCCCGCACACCCTGGGGAAGGCAAGCCACACCGCCGGCGTAGCTGGATCTCGGGGTGCGGAAATGCCATAAAGACACAAACTTTTCCGAGGTCAAATACTACCAGGGTCATGGCGGAGCCAGTGCGGACGCCACTCCCAGGCAGGCAGCAGAAAAGGAAGCTGCTC